GACGAAGCATCTTCGTTTCCCTGCATTTTGTCGGCCCAACAACGCATACTAGTTCCTTGTAATTTGTTTCCCCAACTCTCTTACTCGGGGAACCTCTTGTTTCCCTCGATGGCGTAAAGTAGTTCACGAGTCTCTTCACTTTTTTGAAAAAAATCAACACCTAATAAAAACGAACAAACTCAAAATAATTGGTAGCACCTAATCATATAAACTTCTAGTCATTATACCATTATCAAAACTTCCCAGAACTTTGTAAATTTGACATGCAAGCTCACATTCAAGATCACCACCAACAACAAAATACGCAAAGTATAATGCACTAAACAAAAAACAAATTGGACCAATGGAGGAGTCACATACCAAGGAGTAATCATCCAACAAAAATCAGAAATGGAGTTTCGAGCAGAGAGACCGAATAATATTCGTAAAACAGCAAGAACACAAGCTAGAACTTTTTGTGAAATTTTTAAGGTAGAAGAAGATGGGGGTACATGCACCACTTGAAAGGGTCCCTTTGGGCCCCACGCGGCCTTCTCTCGCGGCCAGGGGTGCTCACGTGGAGGCCTGATGCCCCCCTATTTTTTTAGCATCAGTACAGACACAAACGCTCATATACACGCGCATACACTCATCCTTATGAACGCACACACGCATACCCTACCCCTATGAGCACCTCCGAGAGACTGAGCCGGCATATCATCTTGAGATTTACGAAGTTACTGTAGGCGCCTCGTCGTCGACGGGAACGTCTCCTCCCACTGAAAGCGCATCGCCGGAAATCCTGAAATAAATCCAGGAATAATGCGAGCACCAGGATTTGAACTCTGGTGGATTGGGGATACCACTGTCCACCTAACCAACTCAACCACAGGTTGATTCGCCTGATGCCCCCCTAGGGTGGCCCCAAGTGCCACTCTTCCCCATATTTCTCTGAAAAATTTGTGTATAATTATTAGATTCTTTGGAACTTCTATCTCTCTTTTGACTTTGTAACATTTTTTGGAAATACTTAAACATTTTCTGAAATCTGGGAACAATTTTTCAAATTTATGAACATTTTCCGAATCACCGAACATTTTTTGAATCAACGATCGTTTTTTACAATTCACACACATTTTTTGAATTGGCGAAATTTTTCTAAATTCGGAATATTTTATAAAATTAATGAACTTTTTTTGCCCATGAATATTTTTTGAAATTCAGAACATTTCTAAAATTATGAATATTATTTCAAATTCATAAACATTTTTAAAACCAGATTATTTTTTAAATTTGCGAATATTTTTTGAAATTCAAAACATTGTTTAGATTTAGAATTATTTTAAATTCAGTAACGTTTTGGAAATTTTGAATTATTTCTAAAAAGCACAAAGAAAGGATAAAAGAAACAAAAAGTAGTGGCACCGTGCCGTGCATATGGGCCGACCCAAAGTAGCATGTGGGGGAGCGACGGGTGTGCTCTACCTCGCTTTCCACCGCACGTGTCGGGGAATAGGAGCTCCCGGACATGTACAATTTTAGCATGATGGCTCGCAAGTACGGTCTTCAATCATGTCAGACACCTTCATCATATCCAGCTCCAGTGCACATTATCTTATGTATTTTTTATTGTTTTTGTTCCTTGTCATAAAATGCAAGCAGAAATATTTTTTTTAGTCTGCACGCCTTTTTCAAGTGAAATGATGGATGATATGTACTGCCATCGGCCTATGTACGAGCCCACTTTGAGTCTCTTTAGTCCATTTTAGCCAGAAAGAGGGACATCAACCCGCTTTTTTGTTGGCGTTTCTTATCTAGCGCCGCAGGCGCCCGTTTGTGTGCATTTCGCAAACTGTCGCCTGCAGCGCCCCGTTCTGGGCCGGCCCATGTAGGGGTGCCTGAGGAATTTTTTTCCTGTGTTTTTAGAACACAAAACCGTGACAGAACCAGGGTTCGAACTAGCGAGGGGAGCACTCAAACCACCAGGCCATGGCACTGCGGAAGTATATATATGTCCTTTTTCTCCTTTTATTTACGTTTGTCACGTTCGCGAAAGCCCCCGTTTTGGGAGCTTCACTGGTTTTCCCCACTTTGCAATTTGGTTTACAGACGGTTTTATTTTTCTTTTTTTCTTTTTAAATCTCTTAAAAAATTCAAAACAATGAACTTTTGTTAAATTAATGATTTTTTTTCTTAAAATATACACCCTCCGCCTGGAAATACTTGTTCTAAAAATGGATGTATGTAGACTTATTCTAGTACATCCCTTTTATCCATTTCAAAGACAAGTATTTCTAGACAGAGGGAGTATGTTCTTTTTTTAAATTAGATGAACTTTTTTCTAAGGATTGATGGACTTTTTTAAATTTCATGAACTTTTTTGAAATTGAATGAACATTTTTAAAAAATTGATGAACTTTTTAAATAAATCGATAACCTTTGTTTGAATTCGATGAAAAACTTCAAATTCAATGAACTTTTTTTCAAATTTGATGAACTTTTTTAATTTCCTTGAACTATTTTGTATCTCGTGAACTTTTTTCAAAATTTTCACGAACGTTTCCAATTTGTAATTTTTTTAAAATCCGTTCACTTTTCTTAAATCGATGACCTATTTAAAAGTTCATGAACTTTCAAAGTCCATGAACTCTTACTCAAATTCATGAAAAAAAATACATGTGAACTTTCTTTTCAAAATCCTTGAACAGATTCGAATTCATGAATTTTCATTTTATTTTTTCGTAATTGTTTATATAATTATACTACTTACAAATATCTATGTTATTGTCGTACTAGAAGAAGGGTCAAATAGGGCTCTTTCCTCTTTTAATCAACAATGTTACGGTGGTTTAGTGGGTATTGTGGGTAGCTATTGGTGTTGCCAACTGTGGTTCTATTCCTGGCTCTCTCATGTTGACTGTAATAAAAAAAATTAGGCTTGTTCACTGTAATAGTTTTCTACTGTTTTTTCTGGGAGCAACTAGTTAACGAGCGCTCTTTCGGGAGCCTCGCAACGATCAGCGTCACTTGGCGCGTTCTCAGCCATTCGCCACGTGTCGCGCTCTGGACGCTTTTTCCGGATTTTTTTTCCTGCATGCGTTTTCGGCTTTTTAAACGGGTTTTTTCGACGTTTTAGTTTCTTCCGGTCTTTCTTAGCTTTTTGATCAAAAAAAATTCAAAAAAAAACTTTTTTGCACGAAAAAACGCGTTTTTTTTTCTTTCGCGAAAGTCACGATTTTTTTTTTGCAAGAGGCACGGTTGTGCTTTAGCGAGAGTCACGGCCGTGTCTTTCGGAAACGAAAAAAAACGTGTTTTCTGTTTCTTTTCTTTCGCGAGAGTCCGTTTATTCAAAATGTTTTATCTTTTAAACCGTGCGTCCAAATCTCGAACCGTTTTCATCATTGGATTTCTCACCTCGAGATCTTCAAAACTAGATCCCATGTTGATAGATTTTGACAAACTTTTTTATGAAAAAAACCGGACGAAAACCGAAGCGGGAGCATGGTTTTTTTCCCTTTCCCAAAGCAAAACCCTGACTCTCGCGAAAGAAAAAAAAACAGAAAACACGTTTTTTTCCGTTTCCGAAAGGCACGGCCGTGACTCTCGCTAAAGCACAACCGTGCCTCTTGCAAAAAAAATCGTGACTTTCGTGAAAGAAAAAAAAAGAAAACGCGTTTTTTCGTGCAAAAAATTTTTTTTTTGAATTTTTTTTGATCGAAAAGCTAAGAAAGACCGGAAGAAACTAAAACGTCGAAAAAACCCGTTCAAAAAGCCGAAAACGCATGCAGGAAAAAAAATCCGGAAAAAGCGTCCAGAGCGCGACACGTGACGAATGGCTGAGAGCGCGCCAAGTAACGCTGATCGTTGCGAGGCTCCCGAAAGAGCGCTCGTTAACTAGTTGCTCCCAAAAAAAACAGTAGAAAACTATTACAGTGAACAAGCCTAATTTTTTTTATTACAGTCAACATGAGAGAGCCAGGAATAGAACCACAGTTGGCAACACCAATAGCTACCCACAATACCCACTAAACCACCGTAACATTGTTGATTAAAAGAGGAAAGAGCCCTATTTGACCCTTCCACGAGGGTCACGGTTTTGCTTCCACAAGAGGCACGGGTGTGATTTCACGAGAGGCACGGGCGTGCCTCTTTCGGAAAGAGAAAAAAACCATGCTCCCGCTTGGTTTTTTCGTCCGGTTTTTTCATAAAAAAAGTTTGTCAAAATCTATCAACATGGGATCTAGTTTTGAAGATCTCGAGGTGAGAAATCCAATGATGAAAATGGTTCAAGATTTGGACGCACGGTTTAAAAGATAAAACATTTTGAATAAACGGATCTACGAAAAAAAGAAAAACTCACAAGTTGCGATAAGTGGCGCATCACTTGTCGCAACCTGGAAAAATGGAGTGTTCTTTGCAACGAGTACTCGTTAATTAGTGATTTTGGTTTTTTGTTCACGTTTGTTTTGAGCAGGTAGAGGGCCGGCCCATTCCCCGCCCGCTGCGAGCGGCAGCTGCTCTCTAATCGGCGCTGTTAGGGCCGAATAGGAGCTCCCTTTTTTTTTGAGG